ACCATCCTTATATTTGGAGAATAGAGCACCCAGGCTGATAAATACAGTGCAGTGCAAAATTACAAAGTGTTCCAACTTTCTCAGGGAGAGGTGAGCTTTTATAGGGAAAAGTGAGGAAAGGAGTACGTGACCATAATCATGATGGCTTGCTATTATGTATAGCCAAAAGAAAATGGCAAGGTAAAAAATCTTAGACATTTAACAGATTCATTTCCTAACATAGACTTTTTTTTTTTAATTTTATTTTGATTTGGGTGAAGATTTACAGAGTAAATTCACTTTTCATACAGCAGTTCACATAATATAATTTGTCTCATGTCATTGACCAAAATTTACAATGCAACAGCTCCCCTCCCACTTCCTCCCCATAGTTACCTCTTCCCAGTGTCCATCCCTCCATACTCTTCTGCTCCCTGAGCTGTCTTCCTGTGTATAAGCAGCCCTTCCTTCTCCCATGATTGTTCTCTCCAGGGCGTGTGTCTACTTGAGGTAAATGTTTAATTCACATGCCCTAACATAGACTTTTTGAGGTCAACATAGCAAGCAATTTTCTGAAATATTTACATATCATTCTTTCAGGGTGCAAAAATATTCTCCCCAGAAAATCTCAAAAAAATTTTCTTGACAAACATTTTTGCACAAACCCTTTGTTGTTTTCTGAGGGTGGTCAAAGTTCTACAAGAAGTTACATACATATAATGAAGGTTTTAAATTACAGGTCCTATTCTTAGAAAAAGGAGACTCTGGTGGCAAAGTGCCTAAGGCATTTGGCTGGTAACCAGAAAGTTGGCAGTTCAAACCCACCAACCACTTCACAGAAGAAAGATAGGACAATCTACTTCCGTAAAGATTTACTGCCTCAGAAACCAATGGGGGTTGTTATGGGTTGGAATTGACTCGATGGCAGTGTTTTTCTTTTTAATTCTTAGGAAGGCAGTAAGAGGATGTAGAATAGCTAAGATTTAATTAAAAGTGGAGTTTGGCCTACACTGGTGTCTGCCACTTCAGTTATGCCAAACGCCTCAATTTTCTAATGCCCTTTCACAATATCCATTTGGATTGGTATGCATTTGTTAAAAAAAATGAATTTACAATTTATATATTCTCATGAGAATGCATTTTTTACATGAAAATATATCTTTGTCATTATTGTTGTTTTCACTGCAGCTTGTTTTCTGTTTACTGTCTTCTTAGACATTGTTGTTTGTTTGTTTTACAAAAAGAAAGATTGAATTTTCTTTGTTGCCAAAAGGGAAAGTGACTTTTCCTTCTCCCTCTAGTAGATCATTTCCTTGAGAAAGGTGGCAATTATGAAAATGTCCTCTGTCCCTTTGATATGTATATAAAATTTTCTAAAAGTTAAATTAGCCTCTCATAAATATTAAAAAAAAAAAAAAAAGTTGTTGTGGAATCAATTCCAACTCATGGTCACCCCCTTGTGCAGAGTAGAAATTTACAGGATTTTTCAATGCTGTGACCTTTCTCAAGCAAATCACCAGGCCATTCTTTCCAAGGTGCCACTGGGTGGGTGTGAATCACGGACTTTTCCATTAAGTGCTTAACCATTGGAGTCATCCAGGGATTCCTTTGTCATCATCATTGTTGTTAGGTTCTGTTGTACACAGGGTCACCATGAGTTGGAATGGACTCAACAGAACCTGTGCCATCCTCACAATCGCTGCTATATCTTCCAGCCCATTGTTGCAACCAATGTATCAATCCATCTGGTTGAAGGTCTTTCTCTTTTTCACTCACCCTCTACTCTACCAAGTTTAGTGTCCTTCTCCAGGGACTGGTTCCTCCTGATAACATGACTGAAGCACGTGAAACCAGTCTCACCATCACTACAGCCCAAAAATGTTTTTCTGAAGGGCCTGAGAGCCATTTCTTTCTTTTTTTTTTTTTTTAATTGTGATTTGGTGAAAGTTTACAGAGCAAATTTACTTTCCATACAGCATCTCACATACACTTTGTCTTATGACATTGACTGCAATTTCCCACAATGCAACAACTCCCCTCCCACTTCCTCCCCATAGATACCTCTTCCCTGTGTCCATCCCTCCATGCACTCCTGCCCCGTGAGCTGTCTCCCTGTGCATACACAGCCCTTTTATTCTCCCATGATTGATCTCTCCTAGGAGTGTATCTACCAAATGTAAATGTTCAGCTCATATGCCTGTCTTGTTTGGCTGGAAGCCACAGGTGTGGGTTCAGACCTGAAGGGCAGCCAGGGGTCATAGTCTCAGTGGTTCATCAGGCTCTGAGAACCATTTATTTGAAATGTAAACCTCAAGGAAGAGGCAGCCCTACCTCCTCATCACCATGGGAGTAGGCTAGGCTTGTCATAGAGATATGTTGTTGTTCTTTTGTGCTGTCAAGTTGGATTGACTCATAGCGACCCCTCCTTGGGTTTCTGAGGCAGTATCACTACAGAAGTAGGTTGTCTGATAGAGATATGAGAGGTGTTATTTTTCCTTTGGACAAAGGCAAATAAGTAGTGCATATGGCCACCAAGACTACTAGGTGAATTTACAATGGACTAAGGAAGATGGGAGCTCTGGTAGCCTAGTGGCTAAGGCACTTGACTGCTAACCAGAAGGCTGGCGGTTCAAACCCACCAGCCACTCCTCGGAAGGAAGATGGGGCAATCTACTTCCATAGTGATACTGCCTCAGAAACCCAAGGAGGGGTCGCTATGAGTCGGGTCTGACTCAACAGCACATAACAACAACAACAATGGAAGAATGTATAGCAAATGGTGTTGTCAAATCCTCTTACACACGGACAAGTGACTTGAGAACATGTACACAATGGATTGTACCTGCAGGACTACGTACAAAGCTGAGGTTTATTTTTCTCTTTGCAATCTCATTACGGGTTTGACAGGGATCCAAATCACCAGTCTGGTTCAAGTCTTAGTAATAAAATGGTTTTCTTTTTTTCCTACAGTTGTGGAGAGGATATTCTGGGCTGACAGATTTTATTTTATGTTTTCCTCAAACTCCAAGAAACAATTGACTGAGGAAATTGTTGCTTTTCTTTTTTTTTTTTTTTTTAAAGATTCATCATTTTCCTTTTGATTCTATTTCTGGGAAATGACATTTTAACCTAACTGTAAATATAACCCCTTCTGAAAGATCAGATCACAGGCATGTTTTCTTTCTGTTTGCATGTATTGTTTGATTTTTCTACCATTTTTATGCATTAATTATGGAAAAGGGAAAAGTTACTTTTTTTTTTTTCGTTCCTTTGCAATACCATTTCTCCCTGAGCTATACTCTTTTACTGCATTAATGGGCTTTCATCATATTCTAGTATTTTACTGAAACTTCTAGCTTTGTAGTTTAGGACACAGGATACACCTTTTCTTTTCCTTCTAATTGTGAGGGAAGTTCAAAATCTATTAGAGAAAGAAAAGGACTAGGACTCCAGGTCGCAATGCAGGTCGCAATCCCGCAGTCCATTAAGTGAGGCAAGACATTTGGACACATGCCATGTTGAGTTGGGGTTCTGGGCAGCCAACCCTCATAGCACGCTGCGCATCTTGACGGCTACAGAAAACACAGACGTTTAAGAAGCTCCCTATAAGAGGCACACTGACTTATGGGAATTGGAGTCCAAGTATTTGTACTGCTAGCAGGCTTGGAAACTGGTGGGTGGACTTCCGGTGTCCTCCCGCGCGTGCACCTCTCGCCCTGCGTGCGTGTTCGCGCATGCGCACTGACGTCGCGGCGCTCTCGCTTCCGGTCCCTCTGCAGGTCAACGCTCGCAGTCGTTCCCAGGCTTTGGCCTTCGGTAGACGAGAATCTTGGTGTTTGCGGGTGTGGGCGCCGCCCGGCGGGGGCGGCAGCCAGGCGCGCGCGGTGTCGTGCGGGCCAGGATTCGCGCAGGTTAGACAGAAGCTCGAGCGGAGACCTCCCAGGCGCTAGCCCCGAAGCCTCCGACTCTGTGGCCGGAGGGGCCGAGCCGGGCAGTGAGCGGTGGCCGCCGCGGAGACTTTTGGCGTCTGTGGGCGCCTCGCTTGGCCCGGACCGAGCGCGCAGGCTCCGCGGACTCCCCGGGACCGGGCGGTCTGCATCGTTGGCGGCCCGGCAGAAGTCCCGGGGCGCTGAGTTCCGCGGGAGACCAATCTGGGCCCGCGAGAAACGTTCCGGCCGAAGTGAGCTTGTCCTGTACGCCCCGATCGGCTTCTCGGGAACAGGCTGTCCGCTGTGAGGGAGAAGGCAGGATCTCAGGAGTCCCGGATCCGAACCACTCACCCGAGGCGTTGGCAGAGGCCGAGCAGCCCCCGAAGGGGTAGGTCGTGTGTCTGCGGGCCCCGAGCGAGCAGGCCTTTGGGGTGCATACCCCACGCGAGGGCATTACCGAGGGCGTGATAGCGGGGGGCGTCGGCCGCTTCCAGGTGCGAGGAGCGCGTTGCATTTGAGGGCGTGAGGCTGGCTGCACCGCGAAGGGCCTGCATGGGAAGGTTGTGAGGACGGGGTTTAGTGGGGGTGAAGGGGGCACCAGCCACAGCCAAGACATTGCAGGTTCCCTACGGGTCTCAACGCCCGTCATCAGCAATGGTCGCCTAGCTTATGCCGATTGTCCCTCAGTTTGCCATTGTAGAATCACACAGTGTACTAAAAAATAAGCCCAAACCAAACCCATGATCCTGGGCTTGGCGAGCCCATGGGCTGAGAGGAGAACTGTTCCATGGAGTTCCCCAGGGGTGCTGGGTGGGTTTGAACAGTCCACCTTTCAGTTAGTAGCTGAGAGCCAGCTGTCGCACACCCAGGTCCCTCCACAGTGCAGGAAAAGTCTGCAAGGGTTCTCTCTTGCTGCCTCAGTTGATAGAGCAAGTCCCTGGGCCTGAGAAGGTAGGTGACTTGTGCAAAGGGGCAGGGTTTGGGGTCGCTTACAGGCCGGTGTGCTGCCTGCAGCCTGTGCCCTGGTGATGTCACTGTGCGGATGCTCTTCCCCCAGGTCGGCCTTCTCTCACAGACCCCCACGCCTTCCCACGAGCAGCAGAAAATGGATGAGGCTCCGGTGAGTGTTTCTCGTCACAGATTTCTGCTCTATTCAGTTTTGCAGTAGTTTTCGGGAGGCGTAAGAGGGTTCAGTGTGAACATGGGAAAGGAGAGGTCCGTGGGAAAGGATGTGCTCACACAGAACGTGAAGTGGCAGAGCGGCACCGGGCACCTGGGCCATGTTAACGTGTGGCTGCTGTGATCCGTCAGAGCCCTTAAAGCTGAGCTGCACGTATGTCTCATGTTCTTGACATTCGTGGCAGAGAAAAAATGACAGATACCATCTGTCTCAGTCCCCTGGTGCCACTATAGCAGAAATACCACAAGTGGGCGGCTTTAACAAATAGAAACTTATTTTCTCACAGTTTAGGAGGCAGAAGTTTGAATTCAGGCTGCCAGTGCCAGGCGAAGGCTTTCTCTCTGTGGGTCTGGGGGACGGGCCTTGCCTCTTCTCAGCTTCTGTTTCCTGGCTCCGTGGAGCTCTCACGTGGCCGGGCATCTGTCAGCCCCATCTGTACTTGCTTAGTTTGCTCTTTTATATGTCAAAAGAGATTGACTTAAGATGTACACTGCGCTAATACTCCCATGTGCACGTAACAGAGAAAATCCATCTAAACAACAGGTATAAACCCACTTTCAACTCATCGCAACCCTACAGGGCAGAGTCGAGCTGTGCTACGGGGTTCCCAAGACTGTCAGTGTTTACGGAAGCAGCTGTCACATCTTTGTCCTGCGGATCAGATGGTTCACATTACCAACCTTTCAGTTAGCAGCAGCAGCTTACCCACTGCACCACCTGGCCTCCTGTCACAGGTGTAGGGATGAGGAGTTACAACATGTGTGTTTAGGCTCTATCCATAACACCATCCATTGTTGGACATCGGTTGTGTAAGAAACATTTTTGGTTTTCCGTGGGTTTTAAAGACTTGCTGGGATTTAAAAGTTTTTCTTTGACTCACTTGATATAAAGGAGCTCTAGTGGTGCAGTGCCTAAGGTATTTGACTGCCAATCAGTAGGTTGGCAGTTCAGACCCCTCAACTGCTCCATGGAAGGAAGATGGGGCAATCTACTTCCATAAAGATGTACCACCCAATAGGGCTTGCTGTGAGTTGGAATCAACTCGATGGTAGTGAGTTTTTCTTTTTTAAATCTTGATATAAGGAATGCTGGTGGTATATTGGTTAAGGCATTTGATTGCTAACCAGAAGGTCAGTGGTTTGAACCCACCAGCCGCTCTGCAGCAGAAAGATGAGACAGTCTACTTCAGTAAAGATTTATAGTCTTAGAAACCCAGCGGGGGTTGCTGTCAGAATTGACTCGATGGCAGTGAGTTTGTTTTTGAGTTTTTTATCTTGATGTAACTGTGAATTGCCTTTCTTAACCCAATGCCATTCCACCCTTAAACTTGTCTTCATGTGAACAGAGGGCATATGACCCAGGGAGGACTCAGTGTGTGTAAATTTTCTGGTGACTAAAACATTATAGACCCATAAAATGGGTGCCACGCATGTATTGTTGTTAGGTGTCATCAGATCACTAGGTTCTGACTCACAGTGACCCTGTGTACAAGGGAACAGAACTCTGACCTGTCCGCCATCCTCACAGACCTGCTCTGCTTGCTCCTGTTGCTGTAGCCCCACTGTCAGTCCATCCTGAGGTCCCCTTTTTCGCTGACCTCTACCAGGCATGATAGCCTTTTTTCAGGGCTGGTCCCTTCTGACAGCATGACCAAAGTAGGTGAGATGAAGTCTGTCCATGCTTGCTTGCGAGACGCATTCTCTGCACTTCTAAGATGGATGTGTTTGTTCATGTGGTGCTCCGTGGTCTTTTCAGTATTCTTCACCAGCACCACAATTCAAAGGCATCTGCTTTTCTTTGATTTCCTTATTCGTTGTCCAGCTTTCGCATGCATGTGAGGCTATTGCAAATACCTTGGTTTGTGTTATGTGCATCTTAGTGTTCAAAGTAACATCTTTGTTTCTTAACACTTTAAAGAGGTTTTTTTTGCAGCAGATTTGCCCAGTGCAATACGTTGTCTGATTCCTTAATTGCTGGGTGTTGATTATGGATCCAAGTAAAATGGAATGCCTGACAACTTCAATATTTTCTCCATTTATTGTGATGTTGGTTATTGGTCCATTTGTGAGGAGTTTTGTTTTCTTTATTTTGAGGTATAATCCATACTGTAGACCGTAGTCTCTGATCTTCACCAGTAGGTGCTTTAAGTCTCTTCAGTTTCGGCAGCAAGGTTGTGTCAGCTGCATATTGCAGGTTGTCAGTGTGTCTTCCTCCGATCCTGATGCTGCGTTCCGCTTCATACAGTCCAGCTTCTTGCATTATTTGCTCAGCAGACATGCATGTCATAGGAGGGCGATTGCCGAGTAAGGCCTTGAGTCGGTAAGAAGCCCTGGCAGAGTCTGCTCGGGGCTGGACTGGCTCACGGTTCGCCATGGGGTTGGTGACTGGCCCGTGGTTAGCCATGGGGTGGCACGTATGACATTCTCTTCTGATCACGCCTCTTCTGTCAGGGAAATCGGTATCAGGCTTATCAGCCAAGAGTGAGGTTGTGGTTGAGATGAGTCTGTGATGGCCCTGAAATGATTAGGATTTGAACAGTTGATTCCTCGGGAGGGGTTTGTAGGTTTGCCTGAGTGTCTAGACAGTGCTGCTCATGCTTTACTTTGCACCCTGCTTATGAGATGGTCGAGAGGGTAGGTTTCCTAGTTCAAGAGCACCCTCTTCAATCCGTATACTTAGGTGCTGCAGTCCCCAACTTACATTGGGGTTCAACGACTCCATTGGAAGTGGGTTCTGATGCAAGTCCAAAACCTGTTTTTTTTTTTTAAATCACTTCTCACCTTTTCGGCTAAGGTCGAATGTAGTAGCGTTGCTGTTTCGTCTTTCTCCCTTTATGCCTGAAAGTGAACTTGAGCCAGCTGCTCAAGTTTAATCACCAAATAAAAAAGTTAGTGTGGAATGTTCATGACAGTGCTATTTGCAGGCAGCAGCAGTGCAGGTATTTTACGTCATACCAAACATTTAAAAAAAAAAAAAACTCGTTTTTTCTTATTGTAGTGTTTTTTTCTTATGAGGCAAAGTTAGCAGCAATTTAAAAATTCCACAAATTGCAGTTTGTGAAATGACAGATGCCAAACGAGAACCTTCAAGCAGTACACACTATTCCATTAGGCATTAAAATTAGACTGTGCTTCACGCTCTGCCCTGTGTTAATTTCCCAGTGCTGCTGCAACAGAAATACCATGGGTGGGTGGCTTTAAAAGAGCAGTTTATTCAGGCTGGAAATCGGAATTCAGGGCGCTGGCTCCAGGGGGGCCATCTCTCTGGCTCCACAGGAAGGTCCACGTCTCGGGTCTGTGGTTCCGTCATTCCCTGGTTCTTGGGTGATCCCCATGTGGCCTCCATCTTTGTTTGCTCTTACTCGTCTCTGGGTCTGTGCTGCTCCTACAAGGTGGCAATGATGAGAGGTTCGGGACCCTGCTGCACTGAGATGGTCCCATTCACTTAACAAAGCACACCCCCTCCCCAAAATGGACCACGCTCCCCGCGTCAGGGTTAGGACTGCAGCACATATTTGGGGAGCACACATTCCATCAGTGAGCGTTCTCGGCCTCTCTTGTGTCTGTTTGGTGGGAGCTTAAGGGACTGATTGACATGAGCAGTCATCTGTTTCCCTGTTTCTTCCTTCACTGATAGCAACAGTCTCCTAGCTGCTGGGATTCCAAACAGAACCAAGTATTCTTGCTTAGGAAGATCCCTTAATAGTGGGAATGACAGACAAAAAAACCAAAGCATGACACCTTGCAAGGACTGGGATAAAAGTGTGAGTGAAATGAGATGGAATGTTTGCTCCTAAGGATGTTTTTGGTAAAACGAGACTGGATGTTTCACATTTACCAAAACATAGACGTGTTCAGTCTCCTTTCTCTTATCTCTCTGGGTTTTTATTCAGAATGCACTTTGCATTGTGCTCTGGGTGAACATTTTCAGAGCAGATTAGTTTTCTGTTTGACCATTCATACAATTTGTTTTGTGACCTTGTTGGACACTCTTTCTTGTTTGACTGGATTTCCCTGAATTGATGCCTTTCTTCTCCCGTTTCTCCTCCTCCTGAGTGATCTCACGGTGATCTGCCCTTGACACATCATACAACTACCAGAGTCGTCGGGTCACCTTGACAGACAGACTGCCCAGGGGTACCATTTGAGTGAGTGTGGCTGGCTTACCTTCCTAGGGAATAACACAGGCGGTCATTACCTCTCAGCAAGGCCGCTGTGATAGGTGAACTTGTGGATTCCAGTTCCTCATTAGGGTGGCAGTAGCTGTGACGGGTAGTGCCTGGATGATGTGTGGGCAGGGCTTCCAGAAGATGGCCTGCCCCGCTTTGAGACTGTCCCAGATACCGAGGGCTGAGGCACCTCTGCACATTAGATGAGTCTGGACTTCCACCGTGGACGTGCCTCATCAGCCATCAGAGGCTCTCTGACTCAGTCACCCCCATGGCGTCCTCCCCAGCAAAGCCAGGGATGTTCTGGAACGTGCAGCTGAGGGAGAACAGGGGTCAGGTCGCGAGACGTCTTGTCAGCAGGACCCACTGAACTCTTCTGTTGTTTTACATATAACTTCGCCTCTCCAGTCTACACCAGGAACCTGTCCTCATTTCAAATGGCCCCCACGCGTGACGTCACCTTTCCCTTCCTCAGCCTTCCACACCACGTTTCTCCCCCCATGTTTTGTTGAAATTATCTGAACCTTTTTGCTTTTTAGCATACATATACCACTTTATAATCTTTTTGTGGCAGTTGCATAAAATTTAACGGCCACATAACCTTTACTTGTTTAATTTTACCCATGTTTTGTTGTTAATTTTCTGTCCTAATTTGGGAAGAGTGATAAGGTTCACGGTAGTTAACCCTTGAAAAACCCACTGCCACTGAGTTGACTCCCACGCATAGTGACTCCAAAACCAGACTCACTGCCGTCGAGTCGGATCGACTCCTGGCGACCCCTCCTTGGGTTTCCGAGGCAGCATCACTACAGAAATAGATTGCCTAGTCTTTCTTCCAAGGAGTGGCTGGTGGGATTGAACTGCCAGCCTTCTGGTTAGCTGTCAAATGCGTTAAGCACTATGCTACAATATAATGAAATATAGTCAACAATAGTACAGTAAAATCTTTGAAAGGCATAAACCTGTCAGAGCGGGAAAGCTCAAATATTTTCCACTAACACAAGTGATAGAAAAGTGGCAAGATTGCACCCTGTCAAAGGTGGAAAACTTGTAAGACTCAGAAAAACAAGGACAACCTGGTAAGTCCCTGCTTTCCTAGGTTTCACCGCGGTAGATGCTGCTTGTAAGTCCACGCAGGTCGTCCCTGACTTACAGCAGGGCTCTGTTCTAACCACTCGGGTGTAAGTCGGTTTTGCCCTAAGTCGAATGCCTCATTTCATTTCTGTAGTATTCATTTTTATTGCCTTTTAGTATCAGTATTTTTATAAATCAGATCTTTGTCTTTAGGGTTTGGAAACATTACATATAAACTTAATATATTTTAATACAAGTGTGCACAGATAAAAAATACAGATTATGTTAAAAAAGTGGATGGTTGTAAATGTGGTTTGTCGTAATTTATATGTATTATAAGTCAGGGACTATGTGTGTTATGTCTCAAACACTATGTTAAGTGCTTTACGTATGGATGTTATATGACGTGATAGGTACCAGTATTATTTTTATGTTAGAGGTGAAAACCGTTGTAATAACCTGCCTGAGTATTTGTCAGTGGGACCGTTTATGCAGATACATGTTTAAAGAAACACGCTTATAGACAGTTAGATAGCTCCAGGAATGTGCTTCTCCTCTCCTGGGATGTATCAGTGGGAAGAAAGGGAATTCAGGGTTCCCAGGCTGGGAGTCAGGGGCACCCTAACCAAGTCCTTACTCTTAACTTGGGGGATAGTTGTGGTCAGATCTGCTGTAGGCTTACCTCTTCAGAAGACCAGAACGTGCGATTTCTGGCTTGCCTGTTGCTCTGGTATTTGGCGAGAACTGCAGTTTGGTTCAGGTGTCCCTGTGGTGGGCTGTGCCTGCGTTCTCCAGAGACGAGATGGCTAAAGGCGACGTTTCTCAGCCTGCCTTGCTGCCACGATTCTCAACGTGACGGAACAGCTGAGCGTCTGCGGCTTCCACACGTGCATCAGGCAGGTCCCTCGTGGAGTGCCTGACAGTGACTGTTTCCCACCACCCCATCCCTAGCTTCTTTGGGACATCAAGGGACAAGGCACAGGAAATCTCTTTTGTTGGTTCATGGTTGAGTTGGAGTGCAGGTACCATTACGTGTGAGGCCCTACGGCAGCAATGGTGGGAGTAGCTCCCTGGGCTCCAGGACAGAACTGGAAAGAAGAGGTGGCTCACGTGAGCTGAGGCAAGCTGTAGGAGTGACAGGTGTCCATCCCAGGCCTGTGGAGTTCGAGAGAGAGGCCTGGGCTGACGGTGTGAACTGGCATACACACAGGTATTAGCTAAAGCCCTGAGGTGAGCTGGGGTCACTGTCAAAGCCAGAAGTGTTGAGAGAAGCAAGAAACGGACCTGGAACTGAGCCCTAGGCTCTCCCACTTTAGGATGACTTTTGGGGTGGGGGGTGGTGACCAGCAAAGGCAACTGGATCTGCCAGTGTGGTCACAGGAGAGCCAACAGTGTTAATGTTCTGGAAGCCGAAGGAAGGAGCAGTGTGCCTCCTGAGTTTACGTGAGGGGCTTTCAGGGCCCTGTGCTCCTCAGCACCAGGGGCGTGTGCATGTCTCAGCCCCCAGCCGCCCACACTGAGCCTGGCTTGGGGGGAGCCATTGGCTTTGTTCCGAGTGTGCCCTGAATGAACCTCATGGCAGCTTGTTTGTTTTCGTCCCACAACCTGTAACATGTTTTTAAAAAAAGTGCACGGTGTTCGTCATTAACTTTACCAGTGGTGATGGTAAGATCTTGTCCCTGTGTGCCTTTTCACGTAACACATTTCCAATCATGGTATCATTACAGGGGTCAGTGTCATTCAAGGATGTAGCCGTGGACTTCACCCAGGAGGAGTGGCAGCAACTAGACACTGCTCAGAAGACAATATACAAGGACGTCATGCTGGAGAACTACAGCCATCTGATTTCACTGGGTGAGGAGGGCTTACGTGCTGAGTTGCTAAAATACATGGGGTTGCTGTCAGTTGTAGTGGCTTTACCTGTAATGGGATCCCTGTGTTGTACTTGCTTTGGGCCTCAGGCAGGGCATTGTTGTCTGTCCCTCCCTAATGTAAGGTGGTAATTTTGGTAAAGCCCAGAGCAGCCTGTACGCGGTGCACCTAGTGCCGCAGGACGTCCTCCTGTGACAGATCCTGAAGCCAGGAGTGGGCTCAAGTTCTCTTCCATTTCTCATCAACAGGGCATCCCATTATCAAACCGGATGTTATCACCAAGTTGGAGCAAGGAGAAGAGCCATGGATAGTAGAAGGAGAATTCCTACTTCAGAGTTACCCAGGTGTGTTAGTGGAGGCAGTGAGGACATTGGTAACTTGGAGGTGATTTTAGGATTTTATAATGGTCCTCAGCTTTGAGAAGTGACTGAAGATAGATACCTGTATGCCTTAGATACCCGCATCTCACCCCCAGACCTGCTTCCCCACACACCTGGTGTTACAGAGCTTTTACCTGCTGACCACCACCCAGAATCCAGCCACTTCCTTCCTCCTCTTCAGCCCTGGGTCTTGGCCCGCTCTCTCTAGCCTTTCCAGTAACCCATCTCCATTGATTTGTTTTCAGGCATTCATGAGTCTGTCATAAAAAGTAACTTATGTGACTCTTGTGCTCTACCTTCCTTCCTGTTTTTCTTCTCCTTTACTGTGCAATGCCTCTGACTGCTCTCTGCCCACAGTTCCGCATTCCACATCTCTCGCTTTGAGTCAGATGCCAGATCCCTACGCTGTGCCTAAGCCAGTGATGTCTGTCCCCTTTGTTGCTGTGTGCACTTCTGCTTCAGATGACAGTGCTCCTCATTGTTCCTGAAACCCAGCCCTTCTTCAGTGTCGTGGCCACAGTAACTGGGTGTCCCTCTTTTTCCAAGTGTTCGTTTTCCTCTTGTCTCTTATTTACTGTTCTGTTCCATTGCCTTGAATAACTTCCTGTCAAAAGAAAGTACTCAATAAGTATTATTATGTATATGCATTTTGAGTCTATAACCTCCCTCCCCCACCTCTCCAGGAATGTTTCTGCAGGTCTGTTTCTACCTTCTGTGGTTTTCCTTGTTTCTTGAGTTTCTCAAAGGGCACCTCCAGTCTCATATGTGAAGAGTTTGTTTTGACGTGGCTCCTACCCCAAGTGATGCTCATCTCCCCAATGGCTGCTTGTGCTCTAGCACTTTGATAGCAGTTCAGCACTTCCTTCATTCTTACCATGTCTGAGGTGGAATCAGGAACTCTTCCAAATTATGGCTTCTGTTCACCTTCCCCTCATCTCTTTATTTACTAAATTGTACTCCTCCTCTTTCCCACAAGTGGCCTCTGTGAAGTCTCAAAATATTACTTCTCCTTAAGCATTACTGATCTCCCCAGCACTACTGGTTTCTGTTTCATGTGAAATGTCCTTATTTATCCTCTGTATAGTCTTAGTTTCCTTTAATGTGATATAAACAAAAATTGTATTCTGGCATGCCTAGATTGCTTTGAGTCCTAATTGAGTTTTTTAAGATGTGTTCATCTGAATCTCTAGTTGGTCTTACCACTAGCCTCACCAGATAAGCCTATAGCTATTCCCTATTAATTCTTGAAACTAAAACCAAACCAACTCAGTGGCATCAACTTGGTTCTGACCCACAGCGACCGCTCCTTGGGTTTCTGATGCAGCATCTCTACAGAAGTAGATTGCCCAGTCTTCCTTCCTAGGAGTGGCTGGTGGGTTTGAACCCCAGCCTTCTGGTTAGCAGTCAGATGCCTTAGGCACTCCACCACTAAAGCTCCTATTAATTCTTAAAGGGAATTTAAATTCCTTGTCCTTTCAGGATCCCTATAATATAGCACTTTATTGCCTATCAAAATTCTACTTTTTCCCCAAATTTTTGCTAAACTCCATTTGGTCCAGACTCTTAAATGTATTGTATTCACATGATTATTGTCCCTACAGCTTTACTTTTCTTGGGGTGTTGTTTTTTTTCTACTTGCCCAGATAACATGTTTAAGACTGAGCTCAAATTTTTCAACTCCTGGAAGTTTTGCTTTCCTGACTCTATCATCACTCCAGGCACTTCTCTTAGATTTGATTCCACCCAGTGGTACTGCCTCAAAGAATAACTCTGATCATGTAGTCTGTTATTTGTTCATACATATTTTTTGCTTCAGTCTCTTTCCTCCCCTGGATTATAATCCTATAAAGAGAAGGGTGTGTTTTCTTCCCTTGTCGTAGTATGTACATATAATAGTCATTTATTTATTTGATTACTGAAGGAGCCAGGTAGGTGAAAGGACTTTCTTATCTATCAAGAAATAATTTATAGGCAATTATTTATAAATATCCATGCTTAGATCAAACCTATATATTTTGCAAGTACTTAAAAGATACCATATAATTCAGATTAAGAAAAACTTTAATTTCTACTCTGGAGTTGAAAGGAAATAGAAAATAGTGTCATACATTTTAGAAGATAGGTTTTGGTCAAGAAAAGAGAACAAAGCTGCACAAAGCAGTTTGAAGCTCACCATTTTAGATGGAATGTTTATGTTCCAATGCAAGGCTGAATCACTTTGTGCTAAAAATATTTTATAGACAGTATTGTTTTCTACTCTGAAGGGAAAATGGAGCTAAAAGAAGTAGGAAAAAATTTAAGTTTTTATTTTTAATCTTGGAACAACAGTTCTCCATGAAAGATAGGTTTTGAGTAGATTAACACGAGAAGTAATGCCGTTGAGTTTAAATAGTAGGAGCACAGACTTATGGTTGAAAATGAGCTGGGACATTTATTGGGTACCACTAGCTTAGATTCTTAGAACAGAAATTACTTTTTGGTAGATGAGTATAATGCTAGTTTGGGATCGTATTTCGGGTGATGAAAACTATCAGAATTTTATTCTTCCCATTTTATGTGTTAATATTTTGGGAGGTAAGGAAAGTTGTAGCTTTTGGAGGACAAGGATGATACAGTTTTCTTAAGAGTGGATGATAAATAGTAAGGCAAGTCCATCCACAAATTTATAAAATAAATAAAAATGAAAGTCATTATTTTAGAAGGTTGAAGAATCTGAATCTTAAATTTTCTACACTAAGTGAAACTGAGAGTAATAAGCACTATTCACAATCAGAATCGAGTGACTGTAGAATGCTAGAGACAGGACTGGTTTAAGACAACTGTCAGATTGAAAATGGTAAAAATAATTGCTACACTTAGTATTTTGTGTCAGGTTTAGTATTAAGTACTTTATTGATTTGTATAATCCTACAACAACCCTGTGAGATATGTAGCGTTATTCCCCATTGTAAAGGTAGATGAAACTGAGTCACAGAGGGCTATTAAATAACTTGCTCTGGGCCACCTCACCAGAGTTTATGATATACTGTCCAATACATACAAATACAATTTGATGGTCAGAATGAGTTCAGTATGAAATTATAACATCATTCAAATATTTAACATTTGTGAAACTTTTGAAAGGGTAGCATGCTCTGTGGTCTATTTAAAATCTCCTGTTGGTCTTACGTGTTCCTGAGAGTCTCCTTTCAAGTGAAACTGAATTGTAGCTAAGAGCCCAGGTTACAGGATGCTTCATCTACACGAGGAAGTTTGAGTGAATGTTTGTTTGGCACTACTGTACCGAATGGGGAGAAAAAGGGGAAAGGAGTTTTAATGGATCTAGACTAATGCAGATGCTACAAGGGAAAAATGCCTTAGGTGGTAATTTAACTCTGCCAATTTCATTTACGTAATAAGGTATAAAAAACTAATCCATACCTGGAGACCATCCTCAACCAGCAGCAAGTCCTTGTCATCCAATCAGTTTACCCCATTTGCTGTGAGTCCGTTCATATTTGCTTTATCAGCCCTTCATCCAACATCTTTTGTCTTCTGATCACTGTTCCTTGTTTATATTTCACCTTCTATGCCCGGTTTGCAGCAAAGATAGGTACTTGTGTTGTCCATTTGTTTCCCTTCTTTCCCCAACACTAGAGAGGGAGAGAGCGTGTGTGTGTGTTTTGTTCCAAATGGAGATGATTACGAAAAAAGTACCTTCAGAATTATTTTCATCTGTCCATGAAGCCATCACCTACCCCACACTCAGATAGTTATGTACATGTCTCCTTCCATATCCTAGGTAGGAAGATGTACAAAGTTCTGTTAATTTTTCCTCTTTTTAGAAGAAGCCCAGAAAGATGATGAGCTGATAGAGAGTGTCCAGGAAAATGAAGATGAACTTTCAGAGCAAACCATATTCATCAACAAGAAGATGCTGATGGAAGAGAGAGGTAATATTCTTGATAAAACTGTGAATTTGGAAACAAGCCCTGATCCTTCAAGAAAAATCTCCTATAAATGTGACTTATGTGAGAAGAGTTTAACGTCTGTTTCAAGCTATATCAGTAGTGATGGAAGCTATGCAAGAATAAACCCCGATGAATGTAGTGGATGTGGGAAGTCACTTCTCCATATTAAGCTTGAGAAAACTCATTCAGATCAGTCTTATGAATTTAATCAAAATGGGGAAGCTGATACTCTCAATGATGAAAGTATTTATCAGAAAATTCATATTTTGGAGAAACCCTTTGAATATATTGAATGCCAGAAAGCCTTCCAAACAGAAACAGTTTTTGTTAATCATATGGAGGAAAAACCTTGTAAATGGAATGAATCTGAAATAGCCTTCCTGCAAATGTCAAATCTTGGTGTACATCAAAGGTCTCACATGGAAATGAAGCCCTATGAATGCAGTGAATGTGGGAAATCCTTCTGTAAAAAGTCAAAATTTATTATACATCAAAGGACTCACACAGGAGAAAAACCTTTCGTATGTAACCAGTGTGGGAAATCCTTCTGCCAGAAGGGAACTCTCACTGTTCATCTGAGAACACATACAGGGGAAAAACCCTATGAATGTAGTGTATGTGGGAAAACCTTCTACCAGAAGTTACACCTCATTCAACATGAGAGAACTCATTCAGGAGAGAAGCCCTATGAATGTAGCTACTGTGGAAAATCCTTTTGCCAGAAGACCCATCTCACACAACACCAGAGGACACATTCTGGAGAGAGACCCTATGTTTGTCATTACTGTGCAAAAACCTTCTCTCAGAAGTCAGCACTTAATGACCACCATAAAATTCACACAGGCGTGAAACTCTATAAGTGTAACGAATGTGGGAAATGCTTCTGTCGCAAGTCTACTCTTACCACACATCAGAGAACACACACAGGGGAGAAACCCTATGAATGTAACGAATGTGGAAAGTTTTTCTCTCGTTTATCATATCTCACTGTACATTATAGAACTCATTCAGGAGAGAAACCTTATGAATGTAATGAGTGTGGGAAAACATTCTACCTGAATTCAGCCCTAATGAGGCATCAGAGAGTACACACAGGAGAGAAGCCCTATGAATGTAACGAATGTGGAAAATTATTCTCCCAGTTGTCATACCTCAATGTACATCATAGAACTCATTCAGGAGTGAAACCTTATGAATGTAATGAATGTGGAAAGTCTTTCTACCAGAATTCAGCCCTCTGTAGACATCAGAGAATACATAAAGGAGAGAAGCCCTACGAATGTTACATATGTGGAAAATTCTTCTCTCAGATGTCTTACCTCACGATACATCATAGAATTCATTCAGGAGAGAAACCTTATGAATGTAGTGAATGTGGGAAAACCTTCTGCCAGAATTCAGCCCTTAATAGACATCAGAGAACACACACAGGAGAGAAATCCTATGAATGTTACGAATGTGGAAAATTTTTTTCTCAGATGTCTTATTTAACTATACATCATCGAATCCATTCAGGAGAGAAACCCTTTGAATGTAATGAATGCGGAAAAGCCTTCTCTCGGATGTCATACCTCACTGTACACTATAGAACTCATTCGGGAGAGAAACCCTACGAATGTAGTGAGTGTGGGAAGAAATTCTATCATAAGTCAGCCTTCAACAGCCATCAGAGAATCCATAGGAAAGGAAATATCAATGTAATTGATGTGGAAAGGCTTCTCTGAAGTCAGACCTTATTTTATGCCATAGAACGCTTTCAATGTAATGAATAAGAAAGTCCTGCCTGGAATGAAATAATGCAACAGAGAATTCACAGGTGAATGTGGAAAAGCCTTTGTGAATTCATCAGACTTGTAATCTGAAAATTCACAATGTAGAAACTTTCAGCAGGATCACGTAACTCACTGGATACTGAACTGTACAGGTGTAGAATTAATTAACATTTAGAATGTGTGTACCTTTTCACTATGGATTCAAAATGTTTACTATATCAGGGAATTCATACCAAGGAGAAATCTATCAATTTAAGGAATGTGGAAAAAAACACTCCACTTTTGGAATTGTTAATACTAAAAGATTTGTTTTGGATATAATACCAAACTTTTTGTTTAAAAAAGAAAGGAAGGGAAAAAAAAAACAAAAACCAGAAGAGATCTGCTGCGAATAGGCATTGTCCTTATATAAAGCGAAGCTGTAGAATCTTCAGGATTGTTCAACAGGAGAGCAACATGAGATATGTGGGAGCACTTCCTGAAGTATGTAGAGCTCATTTTTATTTATTTAGCTTTTTAGCATGTTACGTTACAGGAATTGTGTATTCAGTTTGAATCATGGTGGAAATGGCAGAGTATCCTCAAGTAGAGTTATTTGTGATACATACAGTAATCTATTCTAAATAGCACCACCAAGTTAATATCTTAATACACATTGTCATTGAAATAATACTTGACAGGTATAAAATGTGCTTTTCCTTGTACGCTTCCCTAGCATTTATAGATGTGTTTGGTGGTTGTTAATGAACTGAATCTTCTATAAAGAAACCAGTGGTTTTATAACATTTTCAACTGTATTTGAATAGTCAGCGAAAGATAATCTATGCATAAAGTAGATTGAAAATGCTGTATAATTTTAAATTATTAATGTCAGAGACTCCATGTGTGAAAAACAGCTGTAGTACTCCCTGCGCTCTATACATTTCAAAAATGTACTTAAAATATACGCAGTTTTATATATTGTTTGTCTATTATGTTTTATTTGGATGCCTATATGAGTGTGCAGAGCACAAATACTGTGTGATTTAGGAATTCTCTATGTTTATTTGATATGATAATGCTTTTAAACATTGTGCATGCTTCTTCCTATTACTGAATTAGTGATAACATGTTAATATGGGCTTGTGGCAGACATTGTTGAGTGACTTCCCTGGTCACACTCTCCTTGTTTACTGGCAAAGTTTCTATGTCTACTTCTCTCAGGAGTTGGGATAAATTTGGATTAGTTTCAAAAATGAAAATCCCATTTGTATTGCCAGTGATTGGTTTAGTATAGTCACAGGACCCATTTCCAAACAAATAAAGGGAATATCTGTTGGATTATTTGTGAAAAGCGTTTTCTTAAAGATTGAAGGAGTCATGCAGGGTGAAGTGTAATCTTACCTTTCAGTGAACATTACCTTGTCTGCATTTGATACCTGGTTGTGTTTGTCAGCAGTGGCAAAGCAGAAAGACTGGGAGAACCTGCGACCTGTGTTACCAGGCCACTGACTCAGCCAGCCTGGTAGCCAGTCCACCTCTGGATGGCTGCTTTTGTAAGAAATAGCACCTATTTAAGCCAGTCGATTTGGTGGGCTCTGTTAGTGATAAAGACATTCTACATGATACAAAGTTACATTTTGTAGAATTTATGCAATTCAGAAGTGGACTGTGGGGAAATCATTTATTTTGCACTGTTGATGAAAAGATTTGTCTTATTTTCTGTAAATTTTGATGTAAATAGCTTGAACATTAGACGTCAACTTGAAACAACTGTGTATGCTTCAATGACTGTCATATCGTTGACTTAAGAGAGAACTTTGCGGATCTGACATAATGTCAAGTTTAACTCCTTTTCTGTAATACATGAAATCCTGTTTGAGTTAATTTATATTGTTTGTTGATCACTGCTATGTTAGTTGACAATATATAGTTGAAATAAGGATCTAACTTTGTTCACCTTTAGATGCCTAGACTACTAGCCTGTATTAGTTAAATAATTTACCCCTTTACCACTGAGATGAAATGCCATCTTTTTTTCTGTATTAAAATGTCACACGGATCCTATTTTTGTTCCTCAGCAGTTTTTCCAAAATTCTTCTAGATGATGATGAGTGTGTTACGTAACAGAAACTAAATGGCTGGTAGATTGCAGAGTTTTGTGTCAAAACTATGTATTCATAACATAGTTTTTGGAATAATATTTACATATATTTCCCTTATTAGTGTATTGTTATAGCTTAATTCTGAAGTATGCGTTTTAAGTAAAATATTTTTAAAGTGCAAAAGGTCTATCTCATTTTTTTTCTTCTGTGGGTTGCTTGCATGTAAGAGGGTCATGATAGTAACAGCAGCTTATGGAACCACAGAGCTAAATGAAGGAAGTCCCTCGAGAAACAAAGGGCAGATGAGGCTTGTTGTTCTAACTGTTCAGTGTTGGCCACTGTACTTCCAGACATCCTCTCTGTGTTGAAAGAATACATCACCTTAGGCGGTGGTTGTCGTTGTTATGTGCCGTCGAGTCGGACCCGACTCATAGCGACCCCCTCCTTCGGTTTCCGAAACAGTATCGCTACGGAAGGAGATTGCCCCATCTTCCTTCCGAGACATCATGTTATAGAACCCATTTAGTGTAACAGACTGATAATTGTACTACAGTGTTCCCCCTTTTAGTTTTTTTTGTTTGTTTGTGTTTGTTTAAGAAAGTCTTCCTTTCTCAAGTTTCAGCTGGAAACGACTTTTCCCTATTTCCCTTTAAGTTAGGAAAGTTTAGTTTAGGCCAGTGAGATGTAAGGGGAGATAAGTGAACTAGAAAAATAGACAAAGCAATAGAATCAATGAAAGAGAAAGTTCATTCAGAACATCAGTGAAATGAGCAAACCTCAGCTATGCTCTTAGAGTAAAAGAATATTTAAATTACTAAAATCAAAAAGGGAAGTGGGGATATTAATGCAGACCTTACAGAAACTAGATTGTAAAAGAATATCACCAACTGTACAACAAATTAGATAACCTAGATGGCATGGACAGATCTAGACAAAAACTACCAGAACTTTGTCAAGAAGGAATAGATAATCTGAACAGACCTATGAAAAGAAAGATTAGTAATCAAAAACTTCTGAGCAAAGAAAACCCCAGGACAAGACGACTTCCCTAGTCAATTCAAGCATACATTTAAAGAATTAACTATCCTCAGAGTCCCCCAAATAAGAGAACACTTTGGAATTCACTAAGACATGGTGTTTGTTGTCACTGAGTTTTCTTTGAATTGTGAGGACCTGACATATAAGAGAATGAAGGATTGACCAGTCACACCATCTTCTTCATCACTGATGCATTTGAATCCATTGTTGTGGCTATTCCATCCGTCTTACTGAAGATTTCCCTGATTTTTATTGACCCCCAAAAATAGATACCACCTTAGGAGAAGGTACTTCATAGAGATTTGTTTTAGCACAAAACAACAATAACAAAAATTGAGCTCTGGTGGCATAGTGCCTAAGGCATTTGACTGCTAACCAGAAGACTGATGATTCAAACCCACCAGCCACTCCTTGGAAGGAAGGTTGGGCAATCTACTTCCATAGAGATACTGCCTCAGAAACTCAAGGAGGGGTTGCTATGACTTGGGAAAACTTTGTTGAAAAACGTTGAGGGTTTAGTAGATCACATAGGAGTCATCCTGAGTTGTAGTGGGATGGATGTACAGTAAGGGAATGTCCAAAGTTGTACATTGGTGGGATAAGGGGTCTGGACAGAGATGTATGTGGATTCAAGTGCAGGTGTTGAAAGAAAGGATGTGGTGAGCGCCATTCAGAAAGTCTGGAGGCAGATGGGGCAGGTAGGGTAGTGTCTGTGAGCATTACAGGCAAAGATTTGGAGTCTTGCTAGGATCACTCATTCTGAGGGAAACTGCAAAGCTCTGTGTTGTGTTGCTGTGACTGTCACCTTATGTGGAAATAAGGTCTTTGCAGATGTAATTCAGTGACCTTGCAAGAAGGCCATGTGAAGATGCACGCACATGCACGCACACACACACACAAAAGAAGGACTTGTGAAGATGGAGGTAGAGACTTGAGGCTGCCACAGCCAAGGAATGCCTCGACCACCAGAAGCTCGAAGAAGCAAAAGGATTCTTCCTAAAGCCTTGAGAGGGCATCCCTCAGAACTGTGAGAAGATTAACTTTTGTTGCTTTGAGACACCCAGTTAAGGGTAACTGAGCTGTTATTAAAGTCACACAGTTAGGCCAAGCACATGTCTGGGAAAATAGGAATCTGGAGTGAAACACCTTTGAGCATGAATTCCACTCTCCTATGGTGGGGTCCCAGGCAGATCATGTCCCTTTTCTGTGCTTTGGTTTCAGTGTTGCCTATCAGTGTGGTACTGTGACCTCAAGAAGATTATGACAGTTAATGGAACTACTTACAGGAGAGTGTTAAAGAGCCTTGTAATGATAGCAGTGGACAACATATTTTGGTGCCTGATGAGTGAGGGCTTTATGGCTGGTCTTATACAGAAAATGGTAACAGCACCTGTGGGGCTGTTAATATTTAATAGTAAACTTTAATAAAATGTATTCCCTAGATGCCAATGATCATAATACAGACAAGGCACCTTTTAGATGCATAAATGAGGAATGTGCAGTTTATATTAAGAAAACTATACAGCTTTGCTGAACCCCACCAGCCACTCCTTGGAAAGAAGATTAGTCAATCTACTTCTGTAAAGATACTGCCTTGGAAACCCAAGGAGGGGTTGCTGTGAGTTGGATCCGACTCAACAGCAGTTAGATGGTGGTTTTTTTTTTTTTTTTGAATAGTACTTATAAAGACTCAAAGAGATACACATCACTTACCTGGACGAGACTGATGTAATGTTAGACACCATTCAAATGAAAGAATCCCAACTATTTCAAAGATGACTTTTACTTTGAGTTTTCACTGATGAGTCTATGGTTCATCTACAATAATAAAGTAGGAAAACAGGAAGCTGTTATAAAGCAGAGTGAGAACTACTTGTTAGGTGCTATTGAGTCAGTTCTGTCTCCTAGTGACCCTGTGTACTTCAGAAGGAAACCTGTGTCACCTCACGAGCATTGCTGTATTTGAGTCTGTGGTTACAGTCTCTATGTCAGTCCAACTCATTGAGTGCTTTCCTGTTTATCACTGCCCCTCTACCAAGCGTGAAGTCCTTCTCCAGGGACTGGTCCCTCCTGATAACATGTCAGACATACACATAAGACAAAGTCTCGCCATCCTCCTAGGATCATTTTGGCTGCACCTCCAAGACAGATTTGTCCGTTCTTCTGGCACTCCGTGGTACACTCAGTATTATTAGCCAATGTC